AATAATGAATAGTTGTTCTTACCACATAATCCGTAATATCAAAGTTGCATCTGTAAACACTACATGCTTTCTCAATTCTCTCTAGATTATGTATATGTAGTGGATCATCGTCAACATGTGTATTACTTAATTCTTCAGTATCATTGACTGATATATATTTTACACGAAAGTCAGTCTTTATTGGTACCGTGGATTTCTCATCTTTTCCGATCTCAAGTTCCCACATAAAAGAAACGTTCATTCCATTGCCTATCACTAATTTTTGACCCCCGACAGGATTTAAACTTTTAAAGTTAACGTCTATTGACGAAATTGTCATTAATTCAGGTTCAGTTAATTGTAGAAGTTGACTTGTCAAGCCAGTCACGACAATTTGAATGAATTTTCTTTGTTTTGCTGTATGAAGTTTCATACTTGACATCAATGGTGGACCAAAATGCAACGATATGCTTTCTTCCGAACCCCATGGACATTGTATATTCAACTAAAAAAAAAAAAAGTTAAAATATTCATTGTGCAAGAAATAGAATAATAAAATTACAAGTGTTAAATACTTTATGTTCCATAGATGAAGCATCCTTCTTTGGTGGTAATTCAGCTAAGATCTTTAACTGCACTCTTATGGTTTGAAATGGTTCGCACGTTGGCAGTGGTATCTCTAACTCCTTCACCATTACTTTTTCAACACTTTGTGATTGCACTGTCAATCCGCGTGATGTGCGTAATTTTAACTTCATTTCTTCGGTTATCTTTGTACTTCCGCTCGAAATAACTAATTCAATATCTTGAATAAGACCTGCCAGTAAATCTCTGCCACAATTTACAGATATCGTTGGCTGCGTCTTTGCTACTTCGTAACATAATCGTGGATTCAGTATGGACGATAAAAACTCTAATTTTTCTTCTATCACCAATGATAATTGGCTAACTTTGTATAAACCCGGTTGATTTACTCGCCTTGTTAAGACAAATGTATTTATACCGGGTTTCATAACGAATTCATCACAGGAGAGCGCTTTGCTAAAATCACCCTTTGTATTGATTGAAGGTTTTCTATGCTTTGCACTGTCTGAACGTCTCACGAGCGGTTTCATATTTTTATTAATAACACTAGCAGCACCAAGACTCCTATCTTCCTTGTAATCCAAATAAGAATATACTTGCAAACGTAATAAACTGAGATCAAGTAGTTTCATATCTTCTAATGTGCACTTTGACAACCTGAAATAGAACAAAACTGAACAAAAATTCAACACATAGGAAATAGAAGATATACAATGAGCATTATTGTAAATATATAATATTAGAATACCAATATAAATAATATAAGTTCTTTTTTACAATTTATTCTTTTTGCCATAGTATTAAAAATTATATATATACAGATTTTTATAAATAAAAATAATTACAATTTTATTTATTAATACTTACAATTGTACTGGAGGCTCAACAGATGATTTTAGTCCTTTTTTCTTATTAGATATGGATGGCTTTTGTATCTCCTCTACAGAAATAGCAGCGCTAGTACATCTTACTTCCCGAGGAAACAAACTCTGTACACTGATTTCGACGTTAACTACACAGTCTTGTACTATCTTATCCATTACTTTAGCTTCCATACTGAGTATTGTAAAAGCACATCCGAGTTCCGCGAGTAATGGTTGAGGTGAAGAGATCATTTTCATATATCCTAACATTTCTTCCAAATATGTATTGCGTACAGTTATATGCAAAAGACTTGCGCTAGCTACTGCCGCGCACACTTTAGTATATTTCTCGACGTCGTCCATTCGTTTGTAACACTCGGCTAGCTCCAACTGCGTTTGCACAGCCAAGTGATTCCATCCTTCGTCCATATAAGTTTTCAAAGCGTCAGATAAAAACGCGACCGCTTTCTGATTTTCTCCGAGTTCGCTGTAGAATCGTGCCAATTCTTTCCCGATTAATCTGGCTGATCGAATACGGCCGACATGCTTGTATGTGCCCATAGCTAATTCTGCATGCTCCAGATACTGTTTCTTGAACGCTTCTTTGGATGATAGTGCCTCTTTTAACTTGTCTGTAGGAGTTAACTTTCCTTCTACTTGTGGCTCTGAATCTCCTATACCTGCTATAAGATACACAACTGTGTGTAACTGTTCACTAGTCGGTTCACTTCCTGGCATTAGGCCGCACAATTTTCCTAAGCTTCCTAACTAAAAAGAAAAAAAAAGGCATAAATAGAATGCGATATATAGAAAGATATACTATAAAATAATCAGTGTCAAATAAATAAATTACCTTATCTCTTGCAAGTGCCCACAAGCTAGCTGTATGTAAAGAGCACAAGTCCAATTGTTGATTGTTATCAATATTGATGGTGGACAATTGACAAGCTTGCAAAACCTCTAACGCACAGAGGAATGACCAGCATTCTACAGAGCCTTCAGGTTTCTGTACTTCTAAGATTCTCAGTTCGCTCAATGTGTTATGGACAAATGATAAGCACCTTTGTGCAACCTGTCAAAAATAATATCCAATTTCGAAATATGTACGAATTACGGTGTAATTATACGAAGCCATTAATTATCAATAACTGTTCAATTCATACAAACCTCCCAAGGTTTATTAAGCAGGAGTAGCATGGCACATTGTCTACTAAACAAGTAACTCCTAAGATCTAATAAAGATGCCTTACATTCAGCTAAAAGAAATCTTAGATGATGGTTTGTACCGTTATTTAAATTCACACCTCCCCAATTGTTGAGAGGCGTTTGAAACAGACTTAACCATCCTGGAGTATCTATGAACAATTTATCTACCATTTAGGTTTTCACTTTGTATCTCAATATCCGTTCTCATTTGATATCGTATACTTTTAATACAAGCTAGAATTTAAAGGCTTACAATACCTCCTACATTAGAATTGAGCACAAACTGTGTAAAGAGAGCGTCTAGTTCATCATACTGCACCAATGCCTCGTCGTACAAACCTAGCATTTGCAATGCAAATGCCAGTTCTTCCTAAAATGCCAATTCAACTTTGTAAAAGGAAAGATATAAGTTTCAAGATTTTTAATATTAGGGAATCCAGAGGAGTGACGCATTGCTCTTGTGTGAGAGCAGTTGACTCGTAGTCGGTGAGTCTCGGGTTCGTAATCCCGACCAATGTATGCTAGGTTTATTTATTTATTTAAAAAACTGATTAAAACGTTAAAGATATTATGAAAGATTATGAATAAAAAAATATAAGATAACTCGTTTCAGGAGTATTTCAATCAACATTTTAGTCAATATTTTATTAGGCAATTCAGTAGTGATAAGAATTTATAAGGAGAGTTATATTACCTGTAGAAGAAAATAATGGCAGAAGTTCCAACTAGGATTGTTCCGCCTTTCTCTCTGTTCTCGTATAATATCTTCAAAGCGCGACAGAGTTCTGTCATATGCAGTCAACATCAAATGACGAATGCGAGTTATCAAGCCTCTCCATGATTCCGCGGAACGAGATTCAGATTTAATTGGATTAATTATAGCAAAACATCTGTCAATTATAGACACAATTTATGGATATAACAACATCATTTCCTTATTATATTGCAAGATTAAATGTAAAGGGTCATATTACCTGTCGCCATTCTTGGCAGCAAAGTCACTTCGTATTTTATCTAAGACGGTAGTCCTGGGCAATAGCTTATTGGCCTTCTTTACATCATACGTTTCTACCATTACAATCATCCAATCTTGAATGTGATATAAATTCAATATCTTTAACCAGGCATCAATATCATCTCTGATACTAGTCTTATAAGTATCAACATCCTACAAGAATACATGATATAAAAGTTTATTGTTGCTAATTTATTAGGAATATTAATGCATCTAGATACACGTCAAATAAATAGATAATTCTAAAATTGCACAACATTATTGATAACTTTGTCTAACATAGTATCTCATATAGATGAAAGAAATAACATCTTGTATAAACAAATGTATCGTGTGACAAAAAACTGAAACTAGAATGGCATATCTTTATGGGACTTACAGAACATTCCGTCCAATAAATATGAAAGATTGGTTGCTTTATGAGATGCCAATCTTTGTCAGTGGGCAAAATATCCCTGGAAAATGGCACGAAGGTAGCCCCAAGTTTGACTTGCTTAATCGGCCTGCTGAACGACCTGCGCCATTCCACCGCATCCGCAGGTATAGCTTGGAGTAAATTCTTTTCCAACGTGGAAAACAAATTTTCATCTCCGGCACCTGTATCACCGTACAAATCATCATATTCCAATCCTATGTCACACGCTTTGAGGAATCAGGCAGCGCATTTGCATAGGTCAGAGTAACATCCTGTATCCATTGGATTACTCATTTGTGTTATAAGAAACCTTATAAGAAAGGACTACAAAGTCTCCACCTCGTGCGTTTGCCACACAAATTTAGATTAAATTCACATGACACCGGTAACAAAGGGGAGAAAAGGAATCAGGCAAAATCCTGGATTATCTAAAACAATCCGCATTACATGTTTCCCTGACAAAAACATTAAGTTAACATATGTTCTCCGAGAAAAATCTCGGGGAATCAAGATGCGCATTATTCGGTGTGCCGCGAATAATTTTAACCGGACACCGACTGTTTCGGTGCAGACAGGCGAGAGGAAGAAACGCGAGACGTCACGAGGATTGACAGACGGACGGAGCGCGGGGCGTCGAGGAAAGTGTCCGAACGACGGCCGTGTTATCGCTCCGGGGGGGGGGGGGGGGGGGGGGGGGGCAGGGGGGAGGCAGCGGTCAGGGAACTCACAGGTGACGATCGGTCTGCTGTCCACGGTAGCGGCCGCCTTGCGTGCCTCGCCAGCCACGGACGATCCCCCATTGCAGTTCATCGTTTCTGAGGACTGGCGGTGCGCCTCGCGAGCTCGCTGCTCCCGATCGGGCCCACGGTCATAACTCCTCGTCCCTCTCTCGCCGGCGCGCATAGGAAACCCTCTCCCCCTCGGCGGAGGGGGGTCGCTCGCCGAGCCCGCCGCGAGCGCGGAACACCACCAGGCGACTCTCGCTGAACGTTCAGAGGCAGTCGGGAGACGAGCCGAACATCCTTCGCCGAGCACTCTCGAGCTCCATTGAGGTTGGGATTTGGGATCCTTAACGTCTGTTCCCTACACCCCTGCAGCCTGCAGCCCTGCAGCCGCGCTGACTTACACCTTCCGCACTTGAGAGCGCGAGAGACGGTGCGATCGCGCGTCGGCGAGAGGAAGAGAAAGATAGAGGAGTGCGGAAAGTGCAATTGCGAGTTGCGAGGAATAGATATTCCATTCCGCGCGTTGTGATCGATCAGTGCCGTTTCGTATCGATTCGCGGAAAATCGGGTATCTCGATATATCGTGTCGTCGTTCTTCAGCGCCTTCGATTCATGTCAATTCGTGAAATCGTGAATTCTGAATTCGTGTTTATTATGCGTCTACCGTAAATGAGGTTCGCGGTTCGCTTTGTCGTTTCACGTTTGTAGGTTTGTTTCCTACACCTCTCGTTTCTCCTTTTTTCTCCAAGTCTAATTGTGTATCTGTTTCATTTTAGGTGCAAATTTCGTTCGTTTCACTCGAGTGGAGTAACGAAGCAATTTGTTTTGTCTGAAGATAAGACCGTGTCTGAGATATTCTTGAAAACCGATCGTTGAACTGTGCGATCGCGATGATGTGGTGCCGTTTGAATTAAAGCGTGAAATACGTTCTTCACGATATCTTTTAGTTTATTGCGAAGATATTTTCCAGCAGCTGCATCGATTTTCAGCGTCACGTTGTGTTGCGAATTCGTTTGAACTCCGATTTTCCCAATTCTTTCCCCAATTTTGCAAAAGTTTTCAGACATGTACATACAGTTTTTGTAATATAACGAATTTCGCGTAACCTCTCTTTACGCCGGTTTTGTGCAGAGCGATTGTCCTGTTTTAAAAAATTTGATAACGAAAAAATATGTCTACGAGTAAGATACCTGGCGAGGTAGTCCCGTCGAAGAAGGAAAGTCAAGGCTACATCGATGATTTAGGGAAGAAAGAGAGGTTTCAGTTGGAAGAGCTTTTAGAAAGGCAGAAAAAAATTCTTGCCAATAAGTAGGTAGGGCGGAAACTGTTGCATCCCAACATTTCAACTCGATCCTAAATCATCGCGTTTTTTCAGAAAGTTTATCTCGAGGCTTCCCGACAAAGGAGAGAAAATTATAAGTTTCCACGATAAGATACTGAAGGAGCTCGAACGTAGGAAGGAAGTGGAAGAGACGGCTAATTTGCTGTCGCGGCTTAACATAGCATCCGAAGGCAAAGCGGCTATGAGCAAATTGGAATGGACAGGAAAATATAGTGATAAGGATGACGAAGATACGACAAAGGTTGTTGAGCTGGACAGCGACGATGAGGAAGACCCATTGAAGATCCTAGCTCAGGTTGATAGATCTCGCGTGAAATATCGATAATAGCTCTAATTGATGTTATACATATGATCTATTATGTTCTAACAGCCTACAGGAACTGGTGTTCACAATAAGAAAATTATACACTTGGCACCTGAAGAAAGCCTCATCAAACCAGAAGATATAGCAGAGATTGAAACCTTCAAAACAGATTCTTTAGAAGTGAAACACGTGAACTATATCATTGACAAAGTAGAGAAGACACAGGAAATGAATAAAAGGGAGCCGTTTAAGCCATATAAAACGACCAAGAGCAACGTGCATGATCCAATGAAGGAAAAGCAAAGAAAGCTGCATAAAAATTGGGAGGTCACCGCAGCTACACCGCCTCTTATAGTTGGCGGAGCAGCCAAGGTTTTGAGCTTGAATGAATCTTTAAAATTGCAGAAAGAACAAACTGGAAAATTACAGGTATTTAGCATTTCCGATATATTTTTATTTTTTTCAGACAAGTATTCTCTGTTATACTACCCCCATTAGAAGTATATTTTTAATTAATTTCAAATATTTTAATATTTTGCAGGAAATTCAAGCAAAACGTGCAGTGGAACGTCTAGCTTCACAAATAGGACTGCCTGGTACTAGTCGAAATTTTGATAATTACCGTTCAAAATATACAAACGGCTTACTTTCCTCGTCTTCTTCCTCCGATAATGAAGAAGAGCACGAAGTGAACGACGAGGAAGATGACGATAGAGGCGGAACAGTTGTGTTTACTGTGGATTCTATAGAGAGTTAACAAAGACTGTTATGTTGTGTGTGTGCACACAAAAAATGTTTAGCTTTAAAAATATTTATTTTTACTTCAATAAAATTATTTTCATTATATGATTCTTTATATACTTCAATTTTGAATCACTTAATTATATTTCCAAGTTTGCGGGTAAAAAAATATTCTAAGTTAAGATGTTTTAGAGACTTTATTGTTTTTGTAACACATATGTTAATTGTATCCAAAATTATTGATGATTGCTGTGTACGGTGCCGTTGCTTTGGCAACTGCTTCACCAGCTTGCTTAGTAATTTTCTGCAAAACAAAAATGCAATGCTCGAGTATTCGCATACATGAAAAAATTCTTTGGAAAGAAGAGAGGTGTAAAGTACAGTCACTGATATAATCAAATCTTGGATGTGTTAGTTACCTTCAATTTATTCCTCTTTTGAACTTCGAGGATAGCTCTGACACGTCTCTTGTTCTCCAACGTGCGAACCACACCCTTGTACTTCCAGCCAACTTCGTGAGACAATCTACCCACGTGACAGTACTAAAAATCGAAACAAATCACGTTAGTATCCGTGCTTCAATATTGCGGCAAGACTATTTTGCATAAAAATTTCATAACTCAGTTTAAAATTTCACCATAAAAGTCAAGCTGACTCAGACGCAAATTACCTTACCATCATTGTTCTCCCGAAAAATAAGAAATCCAAGCAAGAATTTAAGCAAATTTAAATGTATGTAATATATCTTACCTTTCTGCCTGGTTTGAGACACATCACTCTCATAGCACCAGGTACAACGACACGCTTCCTGCGGTCGTATGGCGGTGGACAACCTTCGTAAACCTTCAGTCGCCTGAGAGCGTCCTTGCCTCTTTGTGTCTTGTGTGGGATCATGCCTGTAAACGAGTATTTTTTAGTATCTTCTTTTGCACTTGCTATATTTTAAGATAGCATAAGCAATCTTAGCGTCATAAAAAAGTAATTCTTTTCATTACCAATTCAAATAATGTAGGTAAGTGTGTTTGATAATCATGTACAATATTCTTATTTCATATAGCGCCAATATAATCTCAACTATACATACCACGAACTGTTTTCCAAAAGATCTTGCTTGGCGCTCGGAAGTGGAACGGACCACGTGCAGGATTTACGTTACATCTCTTACGCAGAAAAGACATGAACTTTAATTTGTTCCTACAAATCCAAAAATGTACATTATGTATCCATATTGTCTCAATATTACGGCAAGATTGCAGAATATTTCATGATTCAGTTTAAAGTTCCATCAAAGTCGAGCAGACTAACTTCAGACGCAAATTACCATACCATCATTATATGTTGTTTCTCTCAATAATACTGGATAATAAAATATATGTGAAAATAGATTTTAAAAATACTAGATAATATTAATGGTATCTACAATTGCTCACGCGATATTTTCTTACGTAACGAAGTAGAATAGCACAAAGTGGTAAAAGTAATATATGCTATTATTTATTCTTATACAATAAAACAGTAAATATTATATTAAAATCAAATATATAAAATTGAATTTTATAAGTTTATTATTGTAATTACTATTGGTTTTGTTTTAATCCAAACATAATATCGATCATTTCAAACAAGATATCGCTAAGTAATGAAGCCTTTACAAACCTGAAAAAGTTACCGCTAATGTTGAGTTGTTCGCTGCGTACGACAATAACCTTGTTGCCTTGCAGGATGGTCTTGGCAACGATAGCAGCCAATCGCCCAAGTAAATGGCCGCGGCCATCTATTAATATTGGCTGAAATAGTAATAATGTTTTTAATATCTCCTTTTGCACTTGCTATATTATAAGATAGCTGTAGCATAAGTAATCTTAGCATCATAAAAAGTAATTCTTTTCATTACCAATTCAAATAATGTAGGTAAGTGTGTTTGATAATCATGTACAATATTCTTATTAATCTCTATTACAGGAATTGAAAATTGACGATTGTACGGTGCGCGTGATTCTCGCTGCTTCGATAACGCTCCATTGAAGTGATATGCACAAGATTCACGATATACGCGGTGTACATTTTGAAATGCGAAAATATCACATATGAGAAAGTTAAAGTGTCAGTCTGGAATTTGTGCCGTTCGACGTGCACGACGCGTTTTGGTTTCCGCGTGGAAAATACGGTTATCTCCGAATAGCCAGAACGCTGCCAGAGACACGTGCGCGACAGGCGGTGGCAAAGCGGCTTTATTTTCGGTAATAGCGGAGTTTTCGAGGAGCTTTAAAGGAACTCGCGTGATACTCCGCATGTTGAGTAATCGCGATCGCATATATGCATCACGCAAGAGCTACTTCAAACTGTCTGAAATATCGAATCTCTGGGATACGAACCTTCTCGCTGAAGCCCGTCATCTTGCTAGCTTACCGGAAAGGAGAAAGGAGTCACGCAATTAGAGAGGCACGGCACGCGTCGTCGCGTCGCGAGCCTCTACCGGAAGAACTGGGAAGAACTATGGACTATGGCTATGGCGCGCGCAGAGTAGCCAACGTTAAGCGGGGAGCACTTCTGCACAACGCATAATGCGTAAGCATAAGAAAATTGATTGGTCTATTTCCTTATGCACATGTGTATGGACCAATCAATTTTCTTATGCTTACGCATTATGCGTTGTGCAGAAGTGTGTGCTCTCCGCTTTAAGGCCATCGCACACAAAATGCATAGCTTAGCATAAGCATAGCATAAGACCGCTAAACCAATGAGCATCCAGCATAAAGTCGCCATATTGATTTACATAAGATGCTCATTGGTCCAGCGGTCTAAAGGTGAAAGCACATAAAATTGCAGGAGCCATGAGCACGAATGCAGAAGCCATATGCGCATGCGCTATGGTGTCTGCATACTGCCTATGGCTTCTGAATTTTCAATCTACATTACACTATCTTATGTATTTTTTTTATGTAGATTGAAAATTCAGAAGTCATAGACAGTATGCAGACACCATAGCGCATGCGCATATGGCTTCTGCATTCGTGCTCATGGCTCCTGCAATTTTATGTGCTTCCACCTTAAGGCTCAGCGGGAGATGGGGATGGGGATGGGGGAGACGGGAGACAGATTAGACCAAGCCGCTCAACTGCTCAGTGGCCTAGTTTACACCGATCTCTTGATACGCGTATCAAATAGTATATTTGAACTGATCAGCCAATAATCAGACTTATTTACTAGTTATTTACTATTTAATACGCGTATCAAGTGATCGATGTAAACTAGGTCAGTAGCAGTCGAACGTGCGTGGCTCATGCTAATGCTAAGACTCCATAGACGCGGAAACGCCGTGCGGTAGAGTGCGTTGACCAATCAGAAGGCTGCCGCAAGTCGCCTGCGGCAAAATCAAAATTTGTGATTGGTCAACGCACTCTGCGCATGACGTTTCCGCGTCTATGGAGTCTTAGCATAAGGGTGCCTCCCCATGCAAGACGGAATCTCGGAAAACGAAATCTCGGAATCATTCTGATTGGTTAGTCCCATGAGGCTATTGGTTAGCCTCATGGGACTAACCAATCAGAATGATTCCGAGATTTCGTCCTGCATGGGGAGGCACCCTAATGCTAAGACTCCATAGACGCGGAAACGCCATGCGGCAGAGTGCGTTGACCAATCACAAATTTTGATTTTGCCGCAGGCAACTTGCGGCAGCCTTCTGATTGGTCAACGCACTCTACCGCACGGCGTTTCCGCGTCTATAGAGTCTTAAGCATTACTTTCAGAACCAACCACGCAACGCAGAGTGTTGATAAGACGAACTCAACAGTTGTGTCTGCTGAACGCGGCCATTGAGACAGATTCGCAGCACAAGAGGGGGGGCACAACATAAAGCGGGGAGCACACACTTTTGCATAACGCATAATACGTAAGCATAAGAAAACTGCGTGGTCTATTTCTTTATGCACATGTGTATGGACCACGCACGTTTCTTATGCTTACGCCGTATGCGTTGTGCAGAAGTGTGTGCTCCCCGCTTTAGGCCTTCGTTTTAGCTGAACTTGTTGCACAGCAGAGGGGCCCGATTCTCTAACGACAAACGTATGCGTAAACTCTGCTCTAACAGAAAAGCTGCAAGCTTATTGGCTAAAAACTGTGCGATAGCCAATCACGTTGCAGCCTTTCTGTTAGATTAGATTTACTACAGAAATATTAGAAACGCTTGTATATTCATTACTTTTATTTCATACGATATACAAAATACTATAACAGTAATAATATATAAAAATGTGACAGTCGCAATACTTATGGACTAAATAATAATATTGCCAGATTATAGCCGACGTACATTTGAATTTATACAGCCAAATTCTATGCATACGTGTCGACACTGTATACAGTCTTTGTTTACATGTTGTTTCCCTTTTCTTCTTTCTTTTTGTTTCAGCCAGCCATGGAGTTAAAAAAGTAACCACGAATATTATAATATATACCAAAAACCGGATAGTATACAAATAATATGGTTATTAAGTAGTTATTATAAGCGCGGTTCAGAAACGTAACGGTCACTTGCTGGGGGACATCTCGTTATCTACATAGTATAGATTGATGGAGAGTTTATATTTTTCTTACTCGAGAACTTGTGGTTCCATGAAAGATCGATCGTTAACGATTTGACACAAATTTTCTCCCGCGTACGAAAGCAAAGGAGAGATCTCGACATTGTCTCCGACGTCTCTCGCACCTGCTTCCAGCAACCACTTTTTATGTAACGTGAGCAAATCGGTGCGGGCGGTGCTCGGGCAATCTTGACCAGCGGAACTTGAATTTTTCAGCGGGCTAAATTCCTCCTCACGCGTTCCCTGCCATACTGCGAAATTCTTTGCGAAGGGAAACACGTCAAACACAAATTTCTCTATCTTGATGCCGTTAGGAACGTTTGGAATGATTCTTATTCCATCGTCATTAACGTATGGAATTTTCTTTTTTGCCACGTGCAGAGGCAAATCTTTCTCGTAAAGATATCCGACATCTTTTAAAAAATCGATCGTGAAGTAGTGATTGCATATATTAGCAGCATTGTATACCAGTTGTCCATCGGCATGTCGAAGCTCCGCAGTCTCTTTCGTCATTTCGCTATATTCAACCACTTGATAGTGATTTTCCACCTATATCAACCAAAATAAAAGTAGTAAAAGATAGGTATAGGTGTGTGCGCGCGCGCGCGCGCGCGCGTGCATATGTATATACAGGGTGTTAAAAAAAAATGCTACATATTTTGAGAACAGGAACAGATAGTATGTTGAATGTTTGTACGTCATCGATGGTGTTGAATATACCAAGGTCTTTAAACGTATGTATCCTCATAGCCAAAAATAGGGAGGTGTATTCGCAAGAGGAATTAAAGGATGCATAGCAATGAATGGGAACTACATAGGGCACCTCCTGCAGTATACGATGTTAACAGATATTTAATTTAAGACCCATGTTTACTGGACGTTTTCTTATTGTTTTGATAAATACCACTGTTCTCAAAATATGTAACACTTTTTTTCAACATCCTGTATTAATATTGTAAAAGAAAACATGCCTTGCAAACTACGCCAACAGCTTCGGAGGGAGAAGACTTGTCGATAACTTTAACTCCGCAGTCGGTCTCAGACAGCAAGCAGTATCCTATGAATATAGGATCCGCTACTTTCACCAAGATGTTGTCCACGGAATGTGCGTGAATACTCCGAATACCGCGTTGTAACATATCGTCCAATATTCCTTGATTTTTCAAAGCGCGATACAATCCTCCGTTACCATCGGGAGCCTTGGAAAGACGATGCTTCGCGTCCAAAATAATCTTTCCGTCAAAGGTGAAACACGGTAGCATACCCTGTTTGAAGGCTTTGACATTTTTCTCTTTTAAACCAAAATAGTTGCGTTTGCTTAGATATTCAACAGTGGCGTCATGAGTGGCTTCGCTAGTAAGGATATACCTGAAAACGAAAATGACGTCACAGCATAGTGCATAGTAGGATACTTGTAGCTACCCTTGTAAAACAATGAATACGTATAATGATTCTTGCAAACCTACCAAGTTATTTCTCCATGTTTTCCATACCGTTGCTGCGCCATATTTTGCAGAGAGAGTATTCTTTCTGCCTGCAGTTGGAAAAGAGTTTTATGGGACGGCAACGCAACGTCGTACATTCCCTTAGGATAGGTGACTCCTAGACGCGTGCCTTGACCACCTGCCAACAGTACAACAGCGACGCGACCTTCGGCTACTTCTTTCAAGCCACGTTCCTCGTACATGTCCAACTCTTTCTCGGTGGACGTCTTGGCAGAGGCACGCTTGGTCCCATCGATCGGCTGTAACTTGGCATCCAGCGTACTCTGGCCGATGCGCTGGGAGGATTCCACAGCCCTCTTGAAATATCCGGTAATTTCCTGCAGGTCAAGCTCATCTATATCATTCGCCAGATGGTACCTATCCTCGTCCACCAGCTCCTCCCAAAATCGGAGCAGATGTTCCTGGTCGTATTCGCTCAGCTTCTCTCTCAGGCGCTCCATCAGTGTCAACACGCTTGTTAACACGCAGCGTTTGACACTTGCCAACACGATATATATATCCCCTTATCGCGCGTCGTGTTTATCGTCGCGCGTTGCTCTCGGTAAATTTCTCGATACGGCTGCCCACGTCACGTCACGTCAAGAGACGCGAACGCGAACGCCAACGCGAGCGAGCGAGCGAGCGAGGGAGGAAAGGAAGAAAGGAAGGAGCAACAGGCAACAGGTATTCATCCGGTTCGATCGGCCTCTGCCGCAGGTAGTAGTGGCAGCGGCAGCATACCTTTGCTACCTTCACTTTCACGATTCCACGTAGCACGCCCACGTCGATTTCTCTTATCGGCCCCTCCCGCCCGGCCAGCCTTCTCCGCGGACTCCGCGCTTATATTCTTCCTTTTTCTTGCAATCATATCTCTTGCAAGCTTACAACGAGTGGATGTCGTCGTCCGTCGTCCGTCGTCGTCGTCGTCGTCGCTCGGTCGCAACGAGAAAAGTTTCCTCTTCCGCGACAACAGTGACAGATAACCTGTGCCTGTGTATCGGCGAGTTGTTTATTCGTTCGTCTTACATCTACGTGTAAGCAGCCGAGATGAGAAGACGCGCGTCACGTTGTTCTCTCGACCTCGCGACGGATAAGCCAAATACAAATGGATTATGGATATGTATGCAAATTAAACGAATTTCCCTCTTGTTCCTTGATTCTTTCTTCCGGTCAGCGCGCAGCGGCCAGCGGCCACGGCGAGGCCAGAGCCAGAGCCAGACCTGTCACCACTTGACCACTGTCATCAGACGCGTGCCCGCGTGCCGGTGCGAGCTGTGAGCGCCGAACGCCGAACACGTGAGCTGGTTGAGCATGTGTTAGCCGTGCATTCGTTAGCGCTGGCACTCGAGACTCGAGACCCTCGAGACTCGAGACTCGAGGCCTCGAGGCCACTTGACGCCGGCCGCCGGCTGCGCAGGGAACTGCGCGAGTGCGCGGATTTATACACTTATTTATCTCAAATCTCACTTATAGCTTTAAATCTTCTCGCATGCACAGCTGGATAATAATGCATTTTCAGAAACGCCCTTTTATCGTAGTCGTTATGGTAACAACGATCTTGTTTATTGTTAGTTTTGCGATTGTATTATAAATACGATGTACGCGCGTGCGCGCGCGCGCGCGGTATTGATATTTATGTTTGTGTGCTTCAAACGAACAATATATTTTTATCTGAATCGAAGCGCAGAAAAATTGGTAAAGAACTAATATTTCTGTCGAGATGTATCATATAGGCTGCGGTCCGATTCACGCTATCACGCTCACACAACTCACAACGCTGACAAGCTGTTATTATAAAAGGATCGTACTGTCTACTGTATATCTTTCGTTGCACATCGAATATATCAAACGAAGATAGAGCGATGTTTTCAACGCTGTGAATCGGACCGTAGCCATAATAAATTGTGTTTATTATTTATACATATATTTCTGTGTAGATGCGCGCGGCATAAAAGGCATGGTAGGCTCGCGCTTCTTTTATAATTTGTGAATCGAAACTGTATATTCGCTATGATCATTGGTGGAAATATTTAAATAAAAAAAAAATATATATATATATATATTTAATTAACTCAATATTGTTCAATCTATTGCGTTTTATTTTTCATCCTGCACTTGTCGAGCATTAATCAAGCCATTCAGTTCCGAACCATGATCGATTCTAATCAATTCTAATGTCGAAAGAGTGGAAGGCATTAACGGCGCAAGCGCCTGGTATGTACATATATATATATATGTTTGTGCGAAGGATCGAGGGTACGTATAAATATAAAAAAAGCCGATGCAACGAAATAATCGTTATATAAGTGTATATCGAACGGTACACAAAAAGATTATTGAACGTAAGCATTTCTCGTAGCATAAAATGACCTTGTTAGAATATATATCCTTTCGATATATTTTTAAATTAATTTTTAGCAATAGCGCGCGTTTTAGCTATAATATATGATACGCATGTATGAATAAGCACGTTCTTCGCTTTATCCACTAAGATTTCTATTTTTGTTTTAACGTCGGAGAACGTGTGATTCTCGCTTCAAAACGTCCAATTTTTTACATGCGGACAACGTTACGCACGTACGCTAAGGCGACTCAACTTAAATTACGTTAAAATCAACACGTATAATGTACGTAGGATGAGCGATATATTTTGATGATTAAACTATACGAGTGTTGAAAAAGAAAAAAATCTTGATTTGAAATAGACAATCCAGCCGAAGTATATTATAGTAAGGAGCGCGTATGCATTGTATATGTACGTTACACGCCCATGCACACGCACGCGCGCGCATCATCTACACGTCTTTAGGGTGTGAGAGTAATCGATGATATGAAGAATCGCTTATCGTAAAAATATCTATTGCCGTTACTTCTAGTCATGTGTATGTGTGTGTGTGTTAAAGCTTATTAGGAACGTAACGACGTAATCGCGATCCAACTAACGATTGAAAGAGACACCGTGTGCCCGATGGCGAATAATGTATAGACTACGTATATAAAGCACAATTACAATATATTTCACAACGTGTTTAAACATTCATACATAATTATACGACGTTTCGCATATGACGAAAAGGCGATTTAATGAAAAATTAGGGGAAGGAGTATATCGTAAAAACAATGTATTTCAAAGACAGGAAAAACGTTGGGACATCGAAGAACGACCGCGATGTAAGGTCGAAAATACTGGCGGATAACGCCACAATGGCAAAAGTTTACGACGTTATCAGCTACTAAGGCCTGACTTTTCGCTGACAGGTTGGAGCCTTTTGAAATTTTTCTCTCGGGTCTCTGACGTTATCATCACGTTCACTGCACAATTTCGGAATGTCAAGGATATATTCTAATGTACCTTATTGAGGTGTAATAAATAAATCGCTTCTCCTTTTTAGCAAGACATACATGTTTGGATAACTGTAAGTTTTAAACTGAACGCGGGCGGAAGGTGAGAAGAAGATGCCACCCCTCAGCCGCGATCAGCTAGCGAGATACGTATCCATAGCTTCCGTTTTCCCAAGTTTTCTATCGCCGAGAACTTAAAAAAATAGAAAGCAACTTTTGTAACTAGGAAACGATAAGTTATTGCACCGTCTGCTGCAATCACCGTTTGCAGTTTCGTGTAAATCGCGCTGAGCCGAAGCGAGAGCACGTTTTGAAAATGTAGTGGACAGAGCAACATTCTCTCGTCTATTGATCACATTTTTATCATATTTATATAATGTAATGTACAATATGCAGCTACATTATGATACGCGGTATGTCCAACGCATTCAAAACTGGCAACACCTGGTGGGTACTTGATCTTTTTTCTTTTCTCGTGTGTGTGTGTGTGTGTGGGCGTGTGTTCTGTTAAATTTTCTCATTGAAGAGGTATCATTTAAATTACTCATTAATCAATGTGTATCGTATGTTTCAGAGTTAGGTACTTTAATATAATTACTTCCAAGTTTTCCACATTCTTGTGGCATCTCTGTGTAAAAAGTGTAACTATATAATGCTAATATAATAATAATAATTATAATAATAAGTTGCGCAAGGCAATAGTCCGATGTGGCCGTTCGATCGTGTGTGCCTGGCGGCCGCTTCCTCGCTCCTCTCCCCCCTCGAAAAAAAACCTACTGATACAGAGACAACTCTCAGGAATAACTCCTACTGCTCCTCCTTCATTTTCCACTCAAGATCGGAGAATTTGCGACGTTTTGTATGGTTTGTTTCTTATGTTACCCATTCGTAGCAGAGGGGGGGAGGAGGTGTGCAGCTGTTTTTGTATGATGGTAATAGCAACTGAATGTTGACAGAGTACGTTTTCCAATTAGCGGTTGGCATTTTTCAGCTGATTGGAAAGCCAATCGAGGCCCTCGTAAAGTCCGTCTCCACTCGTAGCACACGTTGCCTGGATGTACCAATTGCGATTACGCAGAGAATGTAATCCCAATTTGTCGGTGATCTCTGCTGCGTTCATTGCGTTCGGCAGATCCTGAAATGTTACTCTCGTTCAATATCGTCCTTCGTTTAAATCACGCGTATGCAACGTTCACAGAGGACTCTACTTACTTGCTTGTTAGCAAATATGAGGAGTACCGCATCTCTGAGTTCATCTTCCGCCAGCATTCTCATCAACTCTTCGCGCGCTTCACCGATACGTTCCCTATCATTACTATCAACGACGAATATCAATCCCTGTAAAATTAAACATGGAGAGATGAGACAATGGAATATCAATGAAGAATCGATATAATAACGGAAATAATCACGTCATTTGATTTGATCTAATAAAAGATATTGAAAAAGAGAATAAGGTGCACACACACACGCGCGCGCGCGCGCGCGCACACACACGTTATACGTAGTACATACTTGTGTATTCTGAAAATAATGCCGCCATAGAGGTCTTATTTTATCTTGGCCGCCTACATCCCATACAGTGAAACTTATATTTTTATACTCAACCGTTTCTACATTGAAACCTAAAAATTACATTTACATGTGTAATATTACCATCTCTGACATGTTTATAAATTATTATAATGTTTGGTATAAAAGTTGCACAATATACAAAAATAAACTACATTATTTATTACCCTTGAATAAATTGATACAATTATACATATATATATATATATATATATATATATATATATATATATATAATTGTTTATACGAAAGAAATGTACAAGAAATATTATTTAATATTTAATATTATATTTATTAAATCAGTGCTGTCCAAGATTTGTACGTGTTGATATTGGCTTGATGCGCGTGTCCACATTTACGGTTATTGCCTCTTCCTTTTTCTTAGAAGATATTATTGTTAACAATGTTGGACAGCACTACTTTAAGTTTGCATGTGTTTGTAAAAAAGAAAAAACAGACGCGTATTTACCTATAGTGGGAATTGTAGTAACAATTTCCCCTAATTTTAATTTGTACAGAATTGTGGTTTTACCCGCTGCATCAAGACCCACCATCAAAATCCTCATTTCCTTCTTGCCAAAGAGACCTTTGAATAACGTTGCAAACATATTCCCCATGGTTGGTGTTTGTGTGTCAGGACCTGAACATACGCCGAAACGCATATACACATACATATCCATTATATTGTGATACAATAAAAAAAATGTTAATATATAATATATTCTTATAAAATGTATATCAGATTTTGTCATCTAGAAACACCGTGTCCTACGCGACAACCGAGAGATTACTATAAGGTTCCTATGAGTGTATATACCATATTTATTTCATAATTTGAAACCTGGATATGTTTACACATTTTTAAGATTAATATAGATCTACAAAGCTGTATGTGCACATGTTAAATTGTAGAATCGAGCTTGGCACGAAATGAAAAATTGGGTTTACATGTTTGAACAAATGCAATATTAAATGCACAAAGAGCGTGACAAGATATATCACATATCACTCGTGTGTGTGTGTGTGTGTAAAGATGTCGATTCTCTCGTTCCTTCTGTCTCTTGAGCGTAAAATCGCGAGGCGGGAGCGACGTTAACGGGGCAACATCGTGAATGATAGAGGAAAAAGCGGCATTACGGATTGCGGATCACGGTCTCCGGTGATCGGTCTGCCGTCGCGTGGCCGCGCGTGTCCACGGTGGCGTTTCCTCGCGAGCACAACACATACGATACGCACAATCCTGATCGTGCAGCGTCCGCCGAGGTACAAGAAGCTCGCTAGGAGGAAGGATCTAACCTGATCGTGTAAAAAGGCAGCCGCGAGACACCGGAGGATCGACAATGAATCTCGACATGGCGGGAATCGTACGTTCGATATCTTCCTCATGCATGCATGCACGCACGCACGCACGCACGAGACGCTCACCGCTCTCTATCGATTCTCATCATCTCAACAAAATTGCTATGGATTATCGGACCAGCGTACCGTCGGGGATCGCTAGACTGCTTTGCCGAATGCCGAATGCCGCGTGTGCCGATGAGCTATATGCGGCTTTAAAGGACGTCGGTATTCTATTTAAAAGGCCAGTAGAGCGCGAGATACCGCGCGAGCGTCGAGCGAAGTGGAGGGTATCGTACGGTTTGCGAAGCCACAAGCCACTGCGTAAGTACACCCGGGTTGCCTGACTGCCTGACTGCCTGTCACCTTCGACCTACTCCCCAGCCCAGCGAATCGTTTTCAAAGGTTCTCCGCTCAAAGATCCATCATACAGAGACTTGCTCTTACTATCGAGTTCTCTCTTGACGCCACGTTGCACACGTACGATACTTGCGTTACTTACGTTTCAGTAAAAAAGATTATTTTCACGAGAAACGATAAAACATAAAACCAACACTCTCGAAAAGTACCGTATGTCAAAATGGCGGACGTGGAAAAGATTCGTACCTTATGCCACGTATAGGGTCACCGAGCCGCCACGATTGGCCCGACACGAGTCACGTGACGATGGAAATTAACAGCGCGACTATCCTGCCAAGTGCGAGGTGCAAGGTTTAGCGAGATGGCGCTTTAGGCGCCGCGCTTCTGTAGAGTCTCTATGATAAGGCCGGTATTCATAGCCCATAGGCCTATGGCCCGATGGCCCGATTCTCTAACGAGAAACGTATGCGCAAACTCTGATCTAACAGAAAGGCTGCAACCAGCAACGTGCGTGGCTATCGCACAGTTTTAGCCAATAAGCTTGCAGCTTTTCTGTTAGAGCAGAGTTTACATCGAGGTCACTTGAGATGTGTGACTTGATACGCGTATTAAATAATAAATAACCATAGGCTTGTTCGTTTCCGTTGCACTTCTCAACTAATGCAATAAGTTGGAATGAAAGAAAATCTATTTGTTTCATTCTAACTTATTGCATTATGTTGCACTAGTTCAGAAGTGCAGCGAAAACGAACAGACCTAAGGATAAAATGACTACGTTTACACGGCTCGATTTAAGCGGGGAGCACACACTTCTGCACAACGCATAATACGTAAGCATAAGAAAACTGCGTGGTCTATTTCGTTATGCACATGTGTATGGACCACGCAATTTTCTTATGCTTACGGGTGTGTCCGGGCCCTTACGCTCAAGTCAACAGACTTAGGCTGGTTTCACATGGGGCGTAAGATGCGTATGCGTAACTTGCGTCAGCCAATCAAATCGTCTCAGTATTTAATCGTATCATACGCGTATAGTAGCTGAGATGATTTGATTGGCTCACGCAAGTTACGCATACGCATCTTACGCCCCATGTGAAACCAGCCTTAGTTTACATCGATCACTTGATACGCGTATTAAATAGTAAATAACTAGTAAATTAGTTTGATTATTAGCTGATCAGTAATATACTATTTAATACGCGTATCGTATCAAGAGATCGGTGTAAATTAGGCCATTAGTCCATAGTTCTCGCCTTAAACCGGGCTTATATTGAGTAAAGGTGGAAGCACATAAAATTGCAGGAGCCTTGAGCAGAATGCAGAAGCCATATGCGCATGCGCTATGGTATTTGTAGAGCTCTACAGATACCACAGCGCATGCGCATATGGCTTCTGCATTCTGCTCGTGGCTCCTGCAATTTTATGTGCTTTCACCTTCAAGACGCTGAAATCTGTTCGGTTTAAAATCCTGCGCAAAGGTGATGCGCACGTGTTTGAATCTCGACGCTCGACGCTCGGACGCTCCCATGTAATGGCACCTTAACACGATTCAAACGCATCCTTTATGCATCGTTCATATAGTTTGCGACCTTCATGAGTAGCATTTTAATTTTCAGTATCTATTATAATATTAATTATAATATTAATTATTATTCTTAATATTATATAATATTAATTATAATATTAATTATTCTTCTTGTTTAGCTGCTACATGAAAATTTTCTAATATAATAAAAATTTTAAAACTAAATTCTATTAATTAAATTATACGAAAAACACATAATCTTTTGTTTTAAGAAGTAAACATTTATATTTCAAACCACGGTATACGTATAAAATGTATTTAGAATATAATTAAACTTAAGGGTTGATTTATAATAGCCGTAACCGGGAGGAGGTATCGAGGAATTTGGAAGATAGAGACGGTAGTGGGGGTAGTCTAGCGGCAGGAAGGGATGAGAGGAGAGCAAAAGAAAATTTAGCGAAGTGAGCCAGAAGGTGGTAGAGATAAGAATAAGGGAGGATAAAAGGAAAGGAAGGGATGAAATTAGGAAGGAGAAGGTCAGTGAAACGACGATAAGAGGTAGGAAAATCCTATTTTGGAATGTGGCAGGAATAATTAACAAGGATAGCGATTTTTGGGATTATATTACAGATTTTGATTTCATAAGTTTGAGTGAAACATGGATTGATTCTGTTAGTTGGGAGACAATCAAAGTAAGATTACCAGATACGCATATTTGGATGTGTAGTAATGCTATTAGGGTCAATAAGAAAGGAAGGGCAAAGGGAGGTTTTATTTTAGGTAAAAGGAAGGGATGGGGGAAGGAAGGATCAGAGTTGATCAAGAAGGAAGAGGAAGGTTTAGTTTTGTCAGAAATACTTGAGGAAGGTGAAATAACAAATATCATATCAGTATATAATAGGGAGGGTTGGAACAAGATGGAGGAGACGTTAGATCGGTGGGTAGAAAAAGTAGATAGAGAATTTGTGATTATAGGAGGAGATTTAACATCAGAACAGGAGAATTAGGTGGCGGGGAGGAAGAGGAGGGAGGGTGGGAGAGGAAAAGTAAGGATTCATTAATAGGTAATGGAGGTAGGAACTTAGTAGAATGGGTTCAAAATAAGGGATGGTACTTGCTGAATGGTACAACAAAAGGTGATTGGGAAGGTGAATATACATTTATAGGTGCTAGGGGTAGCTCCGTAATAGATTATATGATTGTTTGCGAAGAAATGCATGATAGAATTAGGGAATTTAGAATAGATGCGAGGGTGGACTCAGATCACATGCCTTTAGTTGCGATGTTAGATGTAAGATAGGGCGTTAGGTAAGAATCAAAAGGTACAGAGAGAAGAAGAGGAAGGTAGGAATAAAGAGGTAAGATGGAAAATATGTTGGGATAGGGAGGCTATTGAAAGCTATAAAGAGAAAACTGAGGAGGCTATCTGGGAGGATGATTATCAGGAATTGTCAATTGAAGAGAAGTGGAACAAACTTAAGAAGATAATTCAAGAGTCTATGATAAGGAAGGAAATAATAATTAGAAAGAGGAAGATTGGCTATAAGGACTGGTGGGACAGAAACTGCACTAGGAAGAAAAGAGAAGTGAAAAGGATGTACATGAAATGGAGAAAAGGAAAGGTAGGAAGAGGAAGGTATTTGGAGGAAAGAAGTAATATGAAAGCGATGTTTGAACAGAAGAGGAAGGAGAAGAGAATCAAAGAAGAAGAGGAATTGAAGATCCTAAGGCAAGGAGCAGAGGTCTGGAAATTCATTAATAGGAAAAGAAAGAAAAAGGTGTGGAAGGAAAATAAAATTGAGGGTGCAGAATGGATGAAGTATTTTAAGGAGCTTCTCGGAGGTACAGAAGATATGGCGGAAGACAAGGTAGGAAATAATAGCATGGGAACTGAAGAAGAAAGGCCTGTTCTAATAGGTTCACAGTTGGAGGAAGAAGAAATAGCTAAGGCGGTGAGAAAATTGAAGAAAAACAGGGCTGTAGGTGTGGATGGAATACCGCTTGAAGCTTGGCTGTATGGAGGCAGGGCAGTTAGGAAAGGTCTAATAGAGGTTCTAAATCAGGTCTGGAAGGAAGGAATCTTACCAAAGGACTGGAGGACCTCGATCATAGTCCCGCTGCATAAAAGAGGGGACGAAAACATAGTAGGGAATTATAGAGGTATTTCTCTTTTATGCTCGGCTTACAAAATATATGCTGAAATTATCAGAGGAAGGTTAGAGGAATCTGTCGAGCAGAAAGGTTTGCTACCAGAAAGCCAAGCCGGTTTTAGACGTGGTAGATCAACTATAGACAATATTTTTGTGCTGGATCATCTAACTCAGAAGGAAGAAAGGAAGGGTAGGAAAGGCAAAGTTTATGCACTCTTCGTGGACCTGAAGGCAGCTTTTGACA